TAAGCCGGGCTCGGTGGCTCAGCCTGTAATCCCGCGCTTTGGGAGACTGAGGTGAGTGGATTGCCTGAGCCCGCGGGTTTGAGACCCGCCTGGGCAATTTGGCGAGACCTCATCTCTACAATAAATCACAAAAATTAGCCGGGTGTGGTAGCACATGCCTGTAGTTCCAGCTACTTGGAAGGCTGAGGCGGAAGGATCACCAGCACCCAGCAGGCGAGGCTGCGGTGGCCGGAGCGGCCACTGCACTCCAGTCTGGGCGACAGAGTGAGACTCCAACTCAAAAAAATAAAAAATAAAAATAAAATAATAATAATAAAAAGGGTCGGGTGCAGTGGCTCATGCCTATAATTCCAGCACTTTGGGAGGCCAAAGTGAGAAGATTGCCTGAGTTCATGGGTTCGAGACCAGCCTGGGGAACTTAGAATTAAAAAAACTAGCTGGGTGTGGTGATGTGTACCTGTAGTTCCAGCTACTTGAAAGGCTGAGGTGGAAGGATCACCTGAGCCCAACAAGATGAGGCTGCGGTGGCTGTGAGCATGCCACTGCACTCCAGCCTGGGTGATAAGAGTTAAGACTCCAATCCAAAAAAAGAAAAAAAAAAGAGCCGGGCTCGGTGGCTCAGCCTGTAATCCCGTGCCTTTGGGAGGCTGAGGTGAGTGGATTGCCTGAGCCGGCGGTTCGAGACCCGCCTGGGCAACTTGGCGAGACCTCATCTCTACAGTAAATCAAAAATCAGCCGGGCGTGGTAGCGCGCGCCTGTAGTTCCAGCGACTTGGAAGGCTGAGGCAGAAGGATCGCCGGAACCCAGCAGGTCGAGGCTGCGGTGGCCGGGAGCAGCCACTGCATTCCAGTCTGGGCGACAGAGTGAGACTCCAACTCAAAAAATAAAAATAAATAAATAAATAATCAAAGAAACAGCTACCATTTTTAGAGGTGGTTGCCTCTGGGGACAAGAATTGGGGCAGCTAATATTGTCTTTTGGTGGTGCTGCTCAAATTCATGAAGAACTATGTCTTTTTAACCTTTATACACCTTATATATTGTACAGTTGTGGGTTTTTTTGTTAAAGGTGAGTGTTGACAATATGGCTGTGACTAGTCTAAGAAAGGTGGAGAGTTTTGCTTTTTTTTTTTGAGTTGTGGTCTCCAGCCTAGTCTGGAGTGCAGTGGCACACTCAGGGCCACCCCAGCCTCGACCTGCTAGACTCAGGCGATCCTTCTGCCTCAGCCTTCCAAGTAGCTGGAACTACAGGCACGCGCTACCACACCTAGTTTTATTTATTTGTTTATTTATTTATTGTACAGATGAGGTTTCACCATGTTGTCCAGGATGGTCTCGAACCTGCAGGCTCAGGCAATCCTCTGGCCTCGGCCTCCCAAAGTGCTAGGATTACAGGCTTGAGCCACTACGTCCTGCCACATTTTTTTTTTTTAATTGGAGCCTCTATCACCCAGGCTGGAGTGCCGTGGCATGCTCACGGCCACTGCAGGCTTGACCTGCTGGGCTCAGGCAATCCTTCCACTTCAACCTTCCAAGTAGTTGGAACTACAGGTACACACCACGAAGTCCGGCTAATTTTTTGATTTATTGTAGAGACAAGGTCTTGCCCTAGTTGCCCAGGTAGGTCTCAAACCACTGGACTCAGGCAATCCTCTCACCTCGGCCTCCCAAAGTGCTGGGATTACAGGCGTGACCCACCGCTTTTTTTTTACAGCTTTTAACCAGGTTTTACAGCTTTTAACCAGGTCTCTTCCCCTCACTTTCTCACAGATATTCTCTGGTCATTACAGAATCTAAAATCTAACATGTCAATCAATTGAGCTAGAGAGGTAATATGTTTTTTCTTTCTTTTCCTTTAAATTGTATTTTAAGGAGACAGAGTCTCACTCTGTCATGCAGTCTGCAGTGCTCTGGTACAATCATAGTTCATAGCTCACTGCAGCTTCCAACTCCTGAGCTCAAGCAATCCTCCTACCTCAGCCTCCTGAGTAGCTGGGACTACAGGCTCGCATCACCATACCTAGCTAATTTTTAGATTTTTTGTAGAGATAGAGTCTTGCTGTGTTGTCCAGGCTGGTCTCAAACTCCTGAGCTCAAGTGATCCTCCCACCTCAGGCTCCCAAGTCAATGGACTACAGGTGTGCACCACTGCACCCAGCTTATTCTCTTTTCTTTTTTTTTCTTTTTTTTTTTTTGAGTCAGAGTTTCACTCTGTCACCCAGACTGGAGTGCAGCGGCCGCTCCCGGCCACCGCAGCCTCGACCTGCTGGGCTCCGGCGATTCTTCCGCCTCAGCCTTCTGAGTAGCTGGAACTACAGGCGCACGCTACCACGCCCGGCTCACTTTTGATTTATTGTAGAGATGAGGTCTCGCCAAGTTGCCCAGGTGGGTCTCGAACCCGGCAATCCACTCACCTCAGCCTCCCAAAGGCGTGGGATTACAGGCTGAGCCACCGAGCCCGGCTTCTCTTTTCTTTTTTTGAGTAGGAGTCTCACTCTGTCACTCAGGCTGGAGTGCAGTGGCACACTCATAGCCACCGCAGCCTCAGACCACTGGGCTCAGGTGAGCCTTCTGTCTTAGTCTTCCAAGTAGCTGGAAGTACAGGCATACACCACCATGTCTGGCTAAGTTTTTGATTTATTGTAGAGACAAGGTCTTACCAAGCTGCCCTGGCTAGTCTTGAACTCCTGGACTCAGGCAATCCTCTTGCCTCTACCTCCCAAACTGCTGGAATTACAGACATGAGCCACCGTGCTCACCTCTTTTCTTTCTTTTTTTTGAGTTGGAGTCTCACTCTGTCACTCAGGCTGGAGTGCAGTGGCACGCTCACGGTCACTGCAGCCTTGACCTGCTGGGCTCAGGTGATCCTCCCATGTCAGCCTTCCAAGTACCAAGTAGTTGGAATTATAGGCATGCGCGACCACATCCAGCTAATTTTTTTTATTGTAGAGATGAAGTATCACCAAGTTGCCCAGGCTAGTCTCAAACCCCTGTGCTCAGGCAATCCTCTTATCTCAGCCTCCCAAATTACAGGCATTGCGCCTGGCTTCCAGCTCTTTTTTTAATACTGTCTTTACTTTTTTTTTTTTTTGAATTGGAGTCTCACTCTGTCGCCCAGGCTGGAGTGCAGTGGCACGCTCACAGCCACCCCAGCGTCAACCTGCTGGGCTCCTGCGATCCTTTTGCCTCTGCCTTCCAAGTAGCCAGAACTACAGGCGCACACTACGACACCCAGCTAATTTTTATTTATTGTACAGCCAGGGTCTCACCAAGTTGCCCGGACTGGTCTCAAGCCCGAGAGCTCAGGCAATCCACTCACCTCAGCCTCCCAAAGTGCTCAGATTACAGGCTGAGCCACTGAGCCTGGCCTGTCTTTACTTTTTCCTTCTCAGAGACTTTTACTAAAGCTTGAAAAGGAACAGAGGAGGATTATGGCAGACCCAGAACAGGAAATCTGGATTGTCACCAATCATCTCTGCTTTAGCCCTGTGGCCACTATGCTGCTAAGGTTGGTTTGTGCTGTCTATAAACACCTTCCCCTCCCTTTCAGCTGGAGCCTCATCACATTTCTCTCGCAGGGGGCAGTCACTCGAAACCTCCAATTTTCTTTTTTTTTTTTTTTGAGTTGGAGTCTAGGCTGGAGTTCAGTGGCATGCTCATGGCTACCACAGCCTGGACCCGCTGGGCTCAGGCGATCCTTCTGCCTCAGCCTTCCCTGCACTGGAACTACAGGCATGTGCCATCACGCCCGGCTAATTTTTTGATTTATTGTAGAGATGAGGTCTCACCAAGTTGCCCAGGCTTGTCTCAAACCCGTGGGATCAGGCAATCCTCTCACTTAGGCCTCCCAAATTGCTGGGATTATAGGCGTGAGCCACCACGCCTGGCCCAAACCTCCAATTTTCTACTGAATTACCATACAGAACAATTTAGCTCTTATGCACCAAGCATTTTCTTCCAGACTGTTCTCAGGGGACTTTGTGTTTCTCAACCAAAACAGTCATCAGGCTGTCTCCTAAACCACCTCCCCCACCCAGGGTCTCCACCCTAACTGACACAAAGAACTGGCAGAATTGAAACCACAGCTATTCTCAACTAGTCCCAAATCCCATTCTTAAGCAAAACATCCTTCCTTTCTCATCAACAGTATCCCACAGCAAAAGGAACACAGTAAAAAAAGTGTTCTTCCTTGGTTGTGACACACACACACAAACACACAAACATACACACACAATGCTATTCTTAAATATGTCCAGGAAGCAGGGATTATAGTAGGGACATCTGTGTCAGAATTTAATCCCTTGTTTTCTTTTTCTTTTGAGTCTCACTCTGTTGTCCAGGCTGGAGTGCAATAGCATGCTCACGGCCACTACAGCCTCAGCCTGACTGGGCTCATACAATCCTTCCACCTCAGCCTTCCAAGTAGCTGGAACCACAGGCATGTGCCACCATGCCTGGCTAATTTTTTATTTATTGTAGAGACGAGGTCTCACCAAGTTGCCCAGGCTGGTCTTGAACCCCTGGACTCAAACAATCCTTTCACCTCCACCTCACAAAGTGCTAGGATTGCAGGCATAAGCCACCGCACCTGGCTAATCCCTTGCTTTCACTCTCAGTAAATTCTTCCTTGAGTCTGACTCAACTATCCCATTTCCTCCAACCCATTCTTTGTGGAACCAAAAGCTCTCACAATAATCAACAATACATTCTTGAGTCTCACTTTCCCAGATTCCTTCCTTGATTCAGCCTACTGTTGAGTATTTTTTATTTCTCTGTTTCATACCAGTAGGTTCTGTCACCCCAAGGAAGGTGTGAGCTCCTTTGAGGCAAGAACAAAGAACACCTTGCATGATGTTGATCGCAGTCACAGGGTTTACAAACTGACTGATTGTACTGAAAACCTGAGCCTCTCCTTCTGTGCCTTCTGCAAGGAAAAGAACCCAACTCCTGTGACAACACTCCTTCCTCAGGCGCCTGTCGTCTGGCCCCTGACAACTCACCCTGGGCTCGCCCTGAGCGGCAAAGCGGGTACGCAGAACATCCACAGGGTGCACAGTGAGGGTGGCCATGCAGGCAGACAGTCCGCCACACACAAAGTGCACAGAGAATTCGCGGGCATCGTACACGTTGTCTCTGTGGACCAGCTCCGTCAGCATTTCAAATGACAAAAACTGCAAGAGTGAGAGAAAAAGTTATTGACGGCCCAAAGGATGAGGGCTGAGCCCAGACAGTCCCCAAACACACAACCCATGACCAGCTGGGGCCCAGTACGGGGGCGAGGAAAAGGTGAGGAAATATGCTTCATGAGTAGTGGCAGAATATAATAAAAATATAATTTTGTGCAAAACTCAGCTGCCATTTCATACTCTATTTGAGTAGAGACAAATACCCAGAGGGTTAGGAAAAGGGGAAAATGTTTCTATCAGACACTTCCACTCGCTACCTTAATTTTTGGAGAACTGGGAAAACATGGCCTTGATCTAACCCAGCAAGAGACCCCTTCAGGGCAGCTGGTGGCAACGTAATTTGAGAATTGCTTTTCTTCCTCAAAGTCTGTCAGAGATGAATAAAAAAATTGAAAAAAGAATCAGCCGGGCTCGGTGGCTCAGCCTGTAATCCCGTGCTTTGGGAGGCTGAGGTGAGTAGATTGCCTGAACCCGCAGGTTCGAGACCCGCCTGGGCAACCTGGCGAGACCTCATCTCTACAATAAATCAAAAAATTAGCTGGGCGTGGTAGTGCGCGCCTGTAATTCCGGCTACTTGGAAGGCTGAGGTGGAAGGATCGCCGGAGCCCAGCAGGTCGAGGCTGTGGTGGCCGGGAGCGGCCACTGCCCTTCAGTCTGGGCGACAGAGTGAGACTCCAACTCAAAAAAAAGAAAAAAGAGAATTGCTCTTCCCTGGAGCAGATTCTGTGGGGAGCACATCCCCATGGTCACTCCCTTAGACTCAGAATCATCTTCCAGCTACCTCGAGATGGTTTGGCTTCCTGAGAACACCCTGTTACTGAATTTATTCATCACATCGAGGAGGCATTTTTTTGTGTGCCAGATATAGATATGGGATGGCAGGGGATGTCCACCCGGCAAGCACCTGACTTAGGCGGTCACTGTGATGTTATAGGAAGAGCAGGCAGAGAGGTCTCTGGGTAGCCAGATGCCTGGGTAGGGGTCCTGGCTCCACCACTTTCTTTTTTTTTGGAGTTAGAGTCTCACTCTGTCACCCAGGCTGGAGTGCAGTGGCCGCTCCTGGCCACCGCAGCCTCAACCTGCTGGGCTCTGGCGATCCTTCTGCTTCAGCCTTCCAAGTAGCTGGAACTACAGGCATGTGCTAACACGCCTGGCTAATGTTTGATTTTATTGTAGAGATGAGGTCTCGCCAAGTTGCCCAGGTGGGTCTCGAACCCATAGGCTCAGGCAATCCATTCACCTCAGCCTCCCAAAGCACTGGGATTATAGGCTGAGCCACCAAGCCCAGAGGCTCTGCCACTTTCTAGCTAGTGACTTTGGTTGGGTTAATTTCGTAAGCTCTGTCACCTCAGTCTTCTCATCTGTGAAACAGGAGTGAAAATAGCAGTTATCCCAATGACTGCTCTGAAAGCAGATGTGAAGTGCTGACTGCAGGGGTGTAGCCCACGGTTCACACTGCACATGGTTGCCTAGAATATAAAACTAAATGCTGTACACTGTGACTATACTGGCGCTTAGCTAAATGTCAAGAAGCCCAGGTATAGCTGGAAGCAGTGGCTCACGCCTGTCATCGCAGTACTCTGGGAGGCAGAGATGAAAGGATTGCCTGAATCTAGGGTTGTGAGACCAGCCTGGGCAACTTGGTGAGACCTCATCTCTAAAATAAACCAAAAAATTAGCCAGGCATGGTGGTGTACATCTGTAATTCCAGCTACTCGGAAGGCTGAGGCGGAAGGATCGCCAGAGCCCAGCAGGTCGAGGCTGTGGTGGCCGGGAGCGGCCACTGCACTCCAGTCTTGGCGACAGAGTGAGACTCCAACTCAAAAAAATAATAATAATAATAGAAGTCTGGGGCCGGGCTCAGTGACTCAGCCTGTAATCCCGTGCTTTAGAAGGCCAAGGTAAGTGCATTGCCTGAGCCCGTGGGTTCGAGACCCACCTGGGCAACTTGGCGAGACCTCATCTCCATAATAAGTCAAAAATTAGCCAGGCGTGGTAGCGCATGCCTGTAGTTCCAGCTACTTAGAAGGCTGGGGCGGAAGGATGGCCGGACCCCAGCAGGTCGAGGCTGCGGTGGCCGGGCGACAGGTCTAGTCTGGGCAACAGAGTGAGACTCCAACTCAAAAAAAAGCCAAAAAAACAGAAGTCTGGGTATAATCTTAGTCCCACCACATACTGGCTGCATGGCCTCAGAGAGTTTACTTTACCTCCCTGAGATGTGATAACACCTGTTCTACCTTCCTCATGACATTGCTTAGTTTAAATGAAGCATGGATGTGAAGACTGTGTTTCAAAAAATGAAAAGCATGAATATTGCCCTTTGCCAAGCCCAGTAGGGGGCATGGCATCAAGTCAGTACCCTAGTTGCAACACTTAAGTCACCCAGGATGGACAGTGGAGACATGGGGAAGGGAATGTCCAAGGTACAGGTCAGTCTGACAACATTTTCAAGTGGTCAGGCAGGTTCGGGTGAGGCAAATGGGTGCCTGAGTGAGGCAAGTGGGTGCCTCTTGCCACCCTGCCCCAGGCAGCGTCCTCACCCTCCCTCTTTCCCGTTGAGCCATGTGATCCCGGGGCCTGGCCGGGCCCCTGCCACCTACTTGGACAGCTCCATAGCCTACGGAGAGAATCTGGGCTGGGATGTGTCCCTTCCAGAATGCCGTTGGGCCCTCTTCCTGCAAAATCTGCCTCATGGCCTGTAGGATCCCATGGTATTTTGCACTGGGGTCGCTGGGAGACAGGCGCTCAATCTGAAGCTAGGAATCAAAGTCAAAAAGGTCAGGATGGGGGGGGTCGGGTTGGGATGAGAAGAAGAAGTTTCAGAAAAGGTAACGAATGCAAGAAAGTGCTTCATTTTGACAAAATTCCAAGTCATGGAAACAGAAAGACTTGTCCTCCAGCCCACTGCATGCAAAAATGGGAAAGGGTACCTGGAAACGGATCTTGATGACGTCCAAGGGACTGATCAGCGCCCTGGTGACAAGTCCAGACACAGACCCAGCCACTGCCACCTCGAATTTGGTGTTATTCCTGCCATCTGCTTTGGGGTCATAGCCGACCATCCCTGCCTCTGGCCCATACAATTTTGTCCATCAGTATCAAGCTAAACACAAGAGACACGGAATAAACACCAGGCAGACTGCTTACGGTCTCTGCTCAAACATCACCTCCTCAGAGAAACCCTCCCCGACCAGCCTATCTGAAATAGCACCTGCTTTATTCTTCTTTACAGTGCTCATTACTACGGGATATTTACACAGTTTGTTTCTTGTCTCTCTCCCTCATTAGAACGTAAGCCCATGGAAACAGAGCCTTGGTCTCATTTGTTTACTCCTGCATTTCCAGTGCCTGCAATAGAGCCCATCACAGTAAGTGCTCACAAATATCATTCGCTCCCAGAGATCAACTGGCTTTCCAATGACATCTGGCATCTTCTGGCAAATGCCTGCTTGAGGTCAAGTGTGAGCCTACTCATGTGGGACACCGAGAGGGACTGCAGGACATTTGGGGTCAGAGAACAGCCCACACTGTTGAAAGGAAGAGCTCGGTGACCTCAGAGCCCCTCACATTTCTCTCCCCCTTTCTGTGCACACCTCAGACTCACCCTGACACAATGGGGCCAGGCTAAGCTAGGAAATGATGCTTCCAGGCCCCACCTGAAGCAGACCCGCTGACCTCTTCAGCCTGTGAACCATTCTTCCCCCTCCCTCACTTCACCAGGGTGGCCTCTGTGCTTCTGACCAATTCCTGGAAAATGCTACAGGGCTCCAATCCCCCGACTCACACCCACTACTCACTCTTCCAAGGCCAGCTCTTCTTACTCACCAGAGCTCGGCCAAAGAGCTTTCCTGCCAGGAGGTGAACTTATGACCTTTCTAGCACTCATGGCACTTGCTAATGTGCGTTTTCTGTCCTCCCTACTCACAGAAAGGAGGTTCTCTAGGGACAGCGACTCTGTCACCTAATGACTATACAGTGCCTAACACATAGCAAAGGCTTTTAAGACAGTTAATGAATAAATGATTAAAAATGGAAGAACTAGCCAGGCTCGGTGGCTCAGCCCATAATCCCGCGCCTTTGGAAGGCTAAGGTGAGTGGATTGCCTGAGCCCGCGGGTTCGAGACCTGCCAGGGCAACTTGGTGAGACCTCATCTCTACAATAAATCAAAATGAGCCAGGCGTGGTAGCGTGCACCTGTAGTTTCAGCTACTTGGAAGGCTGAGGCAGAAGGATCGCCAGAGCCCAGCAGGTCGAGGCTGTGGTGGCCGGGAGCGGCCACTACAATCCAGTCTGGGTGACAGAGTGAGACTCCAACTCAAAAAAAAAAAAAAAGGCGTGAGCCATCGCACCCAGCCAGAACCTTTTTTTTTTTGAGTTAGAGTCTCACTCCGTCACCCAGGATGGAGTAGAGTGGCATGCTCACAGCCACCCCAGCGCCATCCTGCTGGACTCAGGCAATCCTTCTGCTTCAGCCCTCCAAGTAGCCAGAACTACAGGCACACACTACTATGCCTGGCTAATTTTTTTTTTTTATATATTGTAGAGACAAGGTCTAAGCAAGTTGTCCAGACTGGTCTTGAACTCCTGGGTTCGTAATCCTCTTGCCTCGGCCTCCCAAATTGCTGGAATTACAACCTTGGGCCACCATGCCCAGCCTACTGTTTTTTCTAAAGTAGGATTTCTCAGGCTGGGCACGGTGGTTCATATTTATAATCCCAGCACTCTAGGAGGCTGAGGTGAGAGGATTGCCTGAGCCCACAGGTACAAGACCAGCAACTTGGCAAGACCTCATCTCTACAATAAATCAAAAAATTAGCCAGGCATGGTGGTTACAGGCAGGCCTGTAGTTCCAGCTACCTGGAAGGCTGAGGTGGAAGGATTGCCTGAGTCCAGCAGATCAAGGCTGCAGTGGCCGGGAGTATGCCACTGCCCTCCAGCTTGGGCAACGGAGTAAGACTCCAACTCAAAAAATAAAAATAAAAAATAAAGTAGTATTTCTTGCCAGGCATGGTGGCGAGCAATCCCAGCACTTTGGGAGGTTGAGACGAGCATATTGCCTGAGCCCAGGGGTTTGAGATCAGCCTGGGCAACTTGGCAAGACGTCATCCCTACAATAAATCAAAAAATTGCCAGGTGTGGTGGCACACACCTGTAGTTCCAGTTACTTGGAAGGCAGAGGTGAAAAGATCGCTTGAGACCAGCAGGTTGCTTTTTTCAATCTGGGCGACAGAGTGAGACTCCAACTCAAAAAAAAAAGAAAAACCACAAAAAGCAGAGTTTCTCAACCTCTGCACTATTGACATTTTAGAATGTATAATTATTTGATATTGGGGAGCTGTACTGTATATTATAGTATTTTTAGCAATGCCCCTGGTCTATACCACCACACCCTCAAATTGTGCCAATCAAAAATGCCTGTAGACATTGTCAAATGTCCCCTGGTGGGCAAAATCCTTTCTGGTTGTAAACCATAGATTTGGAGAAATACTGGCATAGGTATGTAAAATGTTGTGTATTCCATCACTGTTTGTGAAACTGGATATACTCATCAACACAAATACTCATTAATATTTGAAGATTGATACATATACTAAATGACATCCATGCAATGGAAGAGTAAGCAGCCTAGGCAAAGAACGAGCCACACTTATACACGCTCACTTGGCAAGATGCCCACAGTATAGCAAGACGTTAAAATGCAGGTTTCAGTATAGCATGTCTAGTATAATTCCCACTTTTGCTAAAAAAAAAAAAAAAGACAAAAACAAAAAAACCAGCAAAACCCACACGTGCTCCATACAGTTGTATAAAGCATAGAAAGAAATCGAACACACACCTCAATAGGTGGTTGGTAAATTACCACCGGAAGGAGGGTTGGGAAGGGGAAAAGGAAGGTAGATCTCTCTTTCTGTATGTAATTCTATATTATTTTAATGTGATATGGCAAAAACAGAACTAAGCAAAAAGTAAATATAAAATGATCTTAGAAGAGACCTCAGAACTAACCTAGTTCTTTGAATACTTGTAGTAAGGGGGGGAGACTGTCCACACGATAACCCCCCCACCCACCCAACACTGATTGTTTTTCTCCACTCATCCACCCTGGAACTCCTCTCCAGGCACCTGAGAAGCAATTTATACCTGAGGCTGGTCATTGAGAAGCCAAGGCTCTCCCAGGGTTACCTAGGGACAGCTCGGGTGACACTGAGCAGTGGCAGTTGCCTGCCCATTTGGAAGGGAAGGAGTTAGAACGCCCGAGTGGCACGTGTCCTGGCTCGGCGTCAGGAAGAGACTGAAAAGACACCAGGCTCTTCCCGGTGTTCGGCTACACAGGTGCCCCGCGGTGAGTGAGTGCTCATGTGTCCAAGGGTTCAGCTGAGGCGCTCGGCAGATGTCTCCGCGTGGATACACAGATGTCCAAGAGTGACCCAGGGTGTGCTTTTTCTCCCGGCGCCCGAGAGGACCATCCAGAACTCAGGTGCCCAAGCGGTGTGTACCAAGTTCCACCTCCGGCATCCCAGAAGATGTTTCTCGGGTCAGGTGTGACACGTGTGCGTACAGTCCCCGCCCCTACGTGGGTACCTGGGCGTGTGTGCTCCCTCTCACCGGCCCGGGGGAGCGGGGTGCAGGTCCTTGAAAGGACGGTGAGAAGGACGGAGGTAGAGGTCACTCACCCTGCGCGACGGGCGCTGCCCGACTCGTTGCGCTGGCCTCTCTCGCTCCTCGCGCAGTGTAACCGCAAAACTCTCCTGTGCTCGGCAGAAGCTGATAGGCTCTTGGGCCAATCACCGCGGAGCTCCCGACCGTCGCTCGACCAATGGTTGTACGAGGCGGGTCCAGTCCACGCCCCCCGCGAGGTGCCACTGGGTAATGTAGTCCTCCGACTACCAAGGTCTTTTCCCTGAAAGGCACAGGGTCTCCTGGGAAATGTAGTCCCGCTGTGCGCATGCGCAAATGTGACGGACGCTAAGGAAGGAGGCGGGTTGTGAAGCCTGGCTACGACCTTAGGGGTCGCCGCGCTCCGTGCCTGACTCGGAAGTCAGCCTGCAAGCGGGATGGAAGTTAGGGTGGGAACTTGACCCGCTTTCCTCAAAACCCCTTTTAGTACCAGAACCCGGATAATAAAACCTTGGAAAAGATGGCGGGAAGCCTAGCAAGAACCTGGAGGATACGAGGGAGAGAATAGATGGCCTTTTAAGATCAGCATGAAGACAGCAGAAATCCCGAGGGTTTTTTCTTCATAAAGTTGTATTATTTCTATAAAAATAATGTTAAAAATATATAAACAAGCCGGGCTCGGTGACTCAGCCTGTGATCCCTCGCTTGGGGAGGCTGAGGTGAGTGGATTGCCTGAGCCCACGGGTTCGAGACCC